ATTTCAAGGGTAAATGCTAGTGGAAATCGGACAAGGGGTAGTGATGATCTTGGGCGAAGATCAAGTGTAACAGTATTAAATCTCTCATCAATTCTAACAACAATTCATATGAATTGGCAAGTTTTTTTGCTTTCTTGTTTTACAATACTGCCATTTGATTTATATTACTGTTAATATCAAGTTTTTTTTAAATAGCTGTTATATCTTTCTTCTTATATAAAAGCACTTCATATAAAGGAGCAAATGTTTCACTTTGATTAGATTTATTATTAGTATTACTTGTCATTATTTTTATATATGGTAATATAATTAATGCAGAAAATAATACATAAATATATAAATTAAGTGAATATAGCAAATTAAATTTGAAAATGATTATAACCACATTGTAACTGTGAAATTATATTACATTATAACAGGCCTTAGGGAGTAATGTCATATGTTTTATTTCAAAGAAATAGCTCTTTGAGCCTAAATCTATGAATTAGAGATTAGTATAGAAGTATTTCAGAGAAATAATATTGTCTCATAAAACAGTGATGCATTAATATGTGCATTAGCACTAGCTTCGCTATTCGAAATTGGTAGTCTATACTTTCATTGTTACTATTTGGATTGAATTTTGATAAGCCTTCCAGCAATTGATATAATAAGTTTTTGTATTGACATAATCACTATTACTCCATTTACCTTTTATATTATCTCTTATATTTTCTTTTTTATAATTTCTATTATATATGGGATATATTTTTGAACAAGTAAAATAATTGTCATGTTCATTACTATATTTTAAAGATAAATTAGTGAACTGCTCTAGTACTTTGTTAATAACGGATCTTTGCTTCTCTTCTGAACCATTAAGTAAATAAAGATAGGAGGTTATGATTTATTTACTTGTAATATACTTACTTTGGTATCTGGTAATTTTTCTAAATTAGTAGAAATAGATTTAGTAAATACACCGTCTTCCAAAAAGAATACAATACCTGATTAGCAATCTTTAAATATTTAAATTTTAAGTAGAATAAATCAGATTATAATGAAATTTATACTATAGATAGAATATAAGTATGCTTAAATAATGTATAAATTAAAATAGATATTAAATTAATAAAAAAATTTTTATGATAAATTTTAAAAAATTTACTATTGCAATATTTTTGGAGTTTTTAAAAAAAAATAAAAAAATTTATTTGATTTTTATTACTATTTTGTATAACTACCTTTTGCTTTAATAATATCATTAATTTTTTTAGGTATTGTTTCTATATATTCCTTACAAGTTTTTTCAGATGTTTCATTCCAAATCTCCAATAAATTATCTCAGAGAGTTTTTTTATCATTAATATTAATCTCTAAATCATTAATTCTTCTTTTCACATTATTTCAGATGTTTTTTATTAAATTTAAATCTGAAGATTTTAATGGCCAAGAAATAGTTCTAATTTTATTATTTTTTAACCATATTTGAACTATTTTAACCTTATATTTAGGATTATTATCATGTTGAAATATAATATTTTTGGGAGCTAAATTATAGTATCTTAATGAATACATTAATTCTTCTTTCAAAATTTATCTATAAAGTTCTGCATTAAGATTTCCTTCAATCCTAGATAAATATCCTGTGTCATAATAAGTAAAACATTTTCAAATATTAATATTATCTTTATTAAATTTAGTTGTAAAAATTATATGTTGATCCTTTAAAGGTTCTATAGATTTTCTCCAGCAATATTTGCATCCTTTGGCTTCAAAAAGTTGAAATTTAGTTTTATCAGATCAGACCACCATACTCCGATCTTCTATAGTTTAATTTTTATGTAATTTTGCAAATTCTAATTAGATTTTTTTATGTGTTTTACTTAAAAAAGATTTCTTGCATTGTGTATAAGCTTTAAATTCATTTTTCTTAAAAATTCTTTGAATTGTGTTGACACTAATATTTATTTTTTCATATTTTTTCAAGGATCTATATATACCCATGGCTGTTTTGTATTCTCCTTTTAGAATTTTTCAGATAATAATATGTTTCTCACATAGAGTAAGTTTAAGTGGATAACCAGAAATAGGTTTATTTTTTAATTTGTTTGTTTTAAGATATTTTTTTTAAGTCTAGATATAGTGGAATAATGAACATTGTTGCCAATTTTGTCAGCAACCTGACATAAACTATAACCTTCTTCTAATAAGGTAATAGTCTTTGCCCTCTTCTCTATAGATAACTGTCTTGAGGACATTTGGTTTATACAAGGTTTGAGTAAATTTTTGCATTTTTATATTTTTATCCAAAAATGCCAAAAGTCACGCAACAGTAAATTTTTATTAATTGCATCATAAGATTTTTTTTATTATTTTAATCACTATTCTACCATATACACTGTATATACTGTTAATTGTGATTTGATCTGATCTGATCAAAATTTTAACACTTAAAGATCGACGATCAGGTGTTGCGTTCTTTTTGGGAGACGGTGTATATTTACTTCAGATGCAATAGCAATATCCTCATTTTGTGAGACCTCTGGTGATTTTGAATCTTGGTTATTATCTTGGGATGATTCTAAAGAAATCTATTCAGTAAGTATATTTACCTCAGTTTTCGGTGAAGTATTCTTAGGTAAAATTTTTTCGGGACATAATGTCTCAGAAATTTTAGTCACATGATCCGTTATCAGAGGTATCTTTTCCAAAGATATTCCATAATCTATAATTTCTTGAATTTGCTATTTGCTCATTAGTAAGTTCTGAAATAGAAGTTGCACTATAGGATTTAATATACTTGATTTTATCTAGGCCCACTTGTTCGAAAAATTTATACACTTTCTCAGTTCTCTGAGTTTTCTTGCGCAAACTATCTCGTGATATATCCCGAAGTTGTAACCCTAATTTTTGAGATCTTTGTTTGCGAATCAAATTAAGCTGTTTTGTAGTTGAATCATATAACAAACTTCTTGCCTTCTTTTCACCGAATTTACCTTCACTATTTTCAATAATTCTATTGAGCTGAATTCTGAAATCCTTCGCATAGAGACACCAACATAAAATTTCTTCCTAATTAGCTTGATTTGCTTTATCTTTAGCATCAAAAGCTTTATTACATAACTGAGCTAAATGTTGTGAGGCCTCATCAATACTAGATATGTTAGCAGAGGTAATTTTTCCAGGACGTAATGTCTCGGAAATTTCGTTCACAAGATTTTGTTCTATTGATGGTTCCTGTGATGTTTCCGAGGCGAACAATTCATGTTTAAGCTTATCTAATCCCTCACCTTTTTTATGTTCTACTCCCGTTTTCTTACGTATCTTACCAGTTTCGTCTTGGGAAATAATTTCATTACTATCTGAATGAGAGGATTTCGGAATATTTGTAGCTGATGCTTCGGATGTTGCACTATTGCATGATTGAGTAACTAAGTTGAGATCTTGAGCTTGAAGTTTTTTTTCCCGATTTCTCTGCTTAATTGCGTCGCTAACCTTTTTCTTATGCACCTCATTCAAGAAAGCATCCATTTCCTTATTTTCTGATGACTTGTAGTTGGTATTATCATTATGTGCGTTATCACAGGTAACTGCTCGTCCAACTTTATTATTGAGATTCTCTACTACGGAATCGGATACGTCAACAACTGATACCGTTATTTCTGGAATATCACTATTCTGTGACTGTCCAGTTACCTCAGTAACACCCTGTTCCAATATCGCGAGTCTGGCCTCAAGCTCTGTATTCTTTTGCTCTAGTTCCTCAACTCTAACATCGCGCTTTGTATTCTCCTCAATAATCTGCTTCAACTTTGCATTCTCCTTTCTAAGCTCGGCAATCTCGGCTACAAGCTTGGAATTTAACTCCTTCAATGAATCGATTTTGGATTGAGTGTTCGACATTACTTTATATAAAAAGCGCATTCATTCAAAATCTTTTTATTATGCAGATATCGGCATAAAGTACCGAAGTTAAATTCATACGGATTATTTTATAACATATAATGGATTATAAAACCATGCGCCAAGAAAATACATTTTAAAAGTATGATAAGGTTACTTGTGACAATAACGTTGATCATTAAGTCACGAGACGAACTTCGGTCACAAGACCAGTTGATCGTGCGTATATCAGATGAGACTTTCCCAGGGATCTATCATAAAAACAAAATATCCCGTAAAAATGGAAATTGAAGAAATTGGCGAAATGGACAGAACGGATGGAATGGATCTTCCTACTTATAATTTTGTTGATGGTGTCCCTACTGATCCTCAAGTTCTGAAAGTCTATAAGGGTTTGAGTAGAGCCCAAATGACCGCGTACAATAAAGCCAACGACCAGGGTAAAACCTATATCTTGTATGTAGTTGCGGATGAAAAGAAAAAACCGGTATGTTTGCTTAGGTGGTGTACATTTTTCCATTAAGCTTTTCACTGAGATTTGTTATAAATGTTAGTGGTGGCGTCGCTTAATTGATTTATTTCGATAGCGACATTATCTCAATCTTGTTTATGCTGTGATCAATTTACTTTCCGTCACCGGTTTTAATATCTGGAGCCACTTTCAAAGGCGAGACGGAGACGAAAATTTTATTAAATGTTGGAATAATTACAAGCCTGAACAAGATGTCATACTTATGCAATTATGCATTCTCTTTGGTACCCAAATTATGATCATAATCATAACATCAGCAACAGAAGGATTGTTTAATAAGTATAAGTTTCCATTTATCTTCGTTCCAATAATTATTGGGATAGGGTTTGCGGTATTGGGAGGCCTAACTTGGACGTTGCCAGCTACCGCGATTTCTTTCATAGGAGTTGGGATATTGTTTGCGGAGAGTGCCATATATTATTTTAGTATATTCCCTTGATAATAATGATGATGAGGTTAGATCTTGAAGGATGCCATTGCCTACATCCACTGTGCACTTAACCACTACCTACGGCACTGTAATCGTACACAGATTCATTCTGTATCAATACCTAAATTTATTGTGTGGTTGATTGAAATGACATTCACGTGCCTTGAGAGGGATCACAAGATAGAGCGATGTTCATGCACATAGTTATTTTTTGATTTTCTCTTGGCTCATAGTAGTGGATTTTACTATCCCTTGTTGTCTCATCCTTTTCTATATAACGCTTTTCATTTGGAATTAGTACGATTTCGGAAACAGAATGTAGCTAATGATTTGCAATTCCGGATCAGCGATATGTATAACACGTGAAAAATTCATTTCTTTTATAACGAAAAATAAATTACAAAGTCGGGTACTACCTCTAACTATTACATCATTTTTTAGTGTGGTATCCCTCAACCCTAACTCTCTTGCTATCTGGGGACTTTTCCACACAAGCCCGATCCTTTAACAACCCCACGATTATACCCAATACCTTTATTGAATTAAAAGCTATATTGGACTCGATGGAAGGGTTCGTGATAGGGAATACGTCATTATCTTCCGTTCCAACTTATGCCTCTTGTTCCAACGTTTACAGGCCCCCGCGAGAATTTTTTTTCGTAACAGGCTTCTCCTCCGACGTGACAGCTTCTTTTCATTTGTTAGTCGAGTTCATGGTTACGATAAAGCGATGTAGAGAAAAAATGGTCTTGGTGTATTAGATGCAAAGCATCCTCATTTCATGAGACTAATAGACAGGGAAATACAAAAGCAACACTACTCGATGAGCTGTCTCACGAAGTGAGGAGCCAATGTCCTACTCAAGACGAATAGCATATACTTTCGCAGAAAAAAAGAAACATGAGAAGTAATCGCTGATAATCTGTAAGTTGCGACCAAGATTGATAATGCATCGTTCTATATTTGGGGTAATCATTGCACGATCTATTTCGGGGTGTGCGATCTATTTCGGATGTACTACAAACATCATGCATATGATTTAATTTCGAGACTTGACACTTGATCATGTGCCTGATAAATAATGCGTAACGATTATCTGAAAAATTTAATCACATATATCGCACAAAGTATATAATAATCCAGCCACCAGGGCTATCTTTATTGGAATAAATACAAGATATAAAAAGTACGTATAACGAAGTCTAGTTATCGTCTCGTGAAGTAGAAACTGTGGTACTATCTTCCATTTGCCTTTGCGATGTGACAGTAGGTGCGTTATATAGTAAAGATAAATTTGTAATTATTATATTATGTAAAAGTAACAAAGTTTCTATAAATTTAGTTACAACAGCTTCATCCAAAAATTGTACAGGAATCTCAGCAGATTGTAAATGGTAATATTGGTGAACATTAACCATATTTCGTACTAGAAAATTCAAGTGCAATACATTATCTGCTACTTGCATACCTACAATACCAAACTGATTTTTATCTAGTTTAAGACTTTGGCGTATCCAATATAGTTCGCCATTAGTTTCTTGCCATAACTTAATCTCATTGTCAGTCTTTTTTTGTGGACAGAAATTAAATGAGAATATTCTATGTATATGAGTTCAAAAACTGTCTTCAAGTATTTCACTACAAGCATAATATCTGGATGTCTTTCCATGTAACCTTCTTCCATTCTATTAGAACTTGCAATACTTTGCTTTTCCAATGTACTAATAAAAAAAGCATCTCTGACAAGGAGATTTTTCAATGAAGCTCGAATAACAGGTATAATGACAATTGATTAGTATGTTCCTTCATTTAATGTTTTTACGAGTTTGGGATCAAATGCTGAATTATTCCAAATATCTTTCAAAACATTAAGAATTTCTTTGACCACACATTTGATATCTTCTTTCGATTCTTTCTAAGCCATATCATGTATTAATTTGACCGATTTCATTTCAATTTTACATCTCTTAAAATCTAGTACAAATTTTCTACATATTTCTTAAACCATTGGCATGGGTGTGGACATTATTTTATGAACAAATTTTTATTGTAAATAATAAACATTATTAATAGTGTTAACAAAGATAACGTGACCAAATATACATATAATTCTTTACCATAAACTCTTTTTTAAAATTTTCCGGTAATTCCTTTACGAGCTTCGATTCGTCACTAATGACTTGACTGGCCATAGGATCTTTCCAAGACAATGCCTCAATAGATATTGCTTTTACACCAGAATATAAATGTTGATATAAGAGGGTTGTATCTCTTTTGAGTTTTCTTTGAAGCTCAATTATATTGTTTCCGATTTGGTCTGAGCTAAGAGGCTTTTCTTTATTTGTTTTAACAATTACAAGATCGTACAATGTGGAAACTCCTAAAAGCATCTTCAAACTAAAAAATAAATATATATGAGTTTTCAGTAATAAAAAAACTCATCATTAAAAAAAATGTATATATTATCAGTATATATGCAAAGTTATTATTTTTGTGTGGCCATCACATCAATGAAATTCTTTATGGTACTAATTTTCTATATAACAATATAACACCATTATCTTCTATATAGGCAATAAATTTTTCTCATCAATAGATTAATAGGATAAACTATATTACTGCATAACAGTCTATAGCTTAGATATCCCTTCATTGTTGAGCAAGTATTTATCAAAAGTGGGTTAATAGGATAATTGAGTTACTTTTTGGTATGTGAATTTAATAGCTGACTACATAATATCATCATATAATGAAATGATTTTATAAAAAAATCAATAGCTAACTTATAAATAAATTCTAAAAAACTTTCATTGACACAAAGACCCATCTGAATACAAATTATTAAGATAACCAATGACTTGGTTTACAATTGTTCTCAACTCATTTTGCAAAATCCAGGGATTTTCTTCTAAACCTTGATGAACAACAGACATGACATTTATATGGTGCTCTTTGGCATTGATCAAAAAATTATGAATTTTGGTTTGTAAATCAGCAGACATATTGATTAGTCGAGTTTGAAATAATAAAAACTTTGTTATATTGCAAGTAAAAAAACAAATGAACAATTACAACGCAAATATATTGTCCTTTTAAAACATCTTTTCCATTTATTTCTGGTCTTATTTAGATATAGGAATGGTAGATTCAGGGAATATGAAACTGGAGTGATGCAATGCACAATAAAAAAAACTTTTTACAAAGAAAATACATATGTCATGAATTGAACAATTGGATTTGAAATTTGTGGCAACAATTAATGGGTTACATATATATGAAAAGTTCCACGACCTTTGAATTTATTCTGTGGTATAGTATGTAATATATTGATCAAACATCTGCTATATTACGCAATTGATTTCAGGTCACACAATTACATTATACATGAGAAGTTTCATAACCTTCAATTTTATTCTGTATTATGGAGTAATGTGCCTGATCAATTATTTGTGATTTTATTTTCAGAATAACAGATCGTATGATTATATTAATTTATTCTGTAGTAATACAAATGTTCAATCAACATTTATTACAAGGTGTTTACCCATCAATTATGTGAAATACACAAATTTTTTAGCAGTTATGAAATATGCAGACCCATATATATAACAAATAATTGATACTTTATTAATATAGTAATAATTATACAGTATATATCAACATTATATTTTTATGCTACAATGTAGATCCAAAGGGAAATCGTAGATTCGATGCTTATTGAAACAATGGCACTTACATGTCTGCATCATCATTGCTTTGCAATAAAGGCTAGCCTTGTAGAGTATAGCTCATTTCTTTTGCAATTCAGAGCATCTTTAGGCATCTGAAATAGAATTATTTGTGAAGTAAGGACAAAGAGAAAGGAGCATCTCAAGTCCTAATTCATAAAATAAGGGTTTTTTTCCCTACTCCATATTAGCTATTGTGATTTATTTCTTCTTTCTCTTCACTTTCCAATTCAGTATCTATCATCCTATTTTGTTTTGATACCTATAACTTTAATGTATTTTTTCAGATTTTTAGTCATTTTTTTATAAAATTCCTAATAGTGGCATTACTAATTGCTACTCCTCTCTTATAATTGATAACAAGGGTTTAAATTTCTTCAACTATCTTGGGGTATAGCCTTGCCATGAACCACTTTTTAACATGTTTTTTCGCATTAAATAATGCATTAATTTTTTTCACAGTTCGAAAATAGTGCCAGTATAATTTTGAGGTGTTTTGGATATGCCAGATCCAGCATTACTACTTCTTGCGAATCCATCTCGAACTTCGCAAATGTTATAACCAAGATGTTTTACTTTTTCAGATAAACCAGAGATAATTTTTTGTTGTTGTTTAAATGAGTCTGTTATTTTCATAATGAATTGCTTTTCAATGTTCCAATAATTACACCAGGTTATAATATATAATAATATTATTTGAATCACCATGAAACTGGCGAGCAGTAAAAAATCAAAAGTAATTAAGAACATTTTAATAGGTTTGTATTGCAATGGACTTTGTTTATGATTTATGATTCAATTTAATTGGATAGTAATGAGACCAATACAATTGAGATTTTATAATTATAAATTATAGTTTCTTGCTTAAAATTACGGGAATTTCACATTGTAAAAAGTTACAATATGGATTACAAATTATCTTAGGACCAGTTCACAGAGAAAATACATGTTTTTATATCTATAGCTTGTAAAATTCTGTTTCAGATACTAGCTCTACTATATTTCATAGTAAAGGCAATCAATATATCTTTATTTCATAAAACAGAAATAAATTAGCTTAGTTTCTTGCGCATCTTATGAATATTTTTTTCTTAACATGAATTATATCTGGTTTATTCTATGTAATTATAATATTGGTTTCTTAAATTTCGTTCTAAGTAATTAATACATACTTTACTGAAACCTATCAAATTCTGACAACCTGGTCACGTGATCGTCACGATTTTGTGACTGAATAGTGAAGATTCAATCGCGATTTAATGGTTTTTACTATGTCGCGACCAAATCTTAGCCATTTAGTGGCAATTAAATCATCGTTTCAATGACATCGTCACCAACTCTTTTTAAAAAAATAGTGAACAAATCGTGACTATATTGCAACAACTTTTAGTTGCAAAATAGTGATGATGTCGTCACTATAATTATTAATAAAATGTCGTCGTGGCGATACGATTTCGAGGTAACTTTAATTAAATTATGATA